CTTGCTTCGGTATGACCTACCATTACTTACTTCTGCATAGCCTCCAGCCTTGGACATCACTTGCAGCTGTCCCACTCAGACAAGCACCACTGCATCTGGCTCTGGCTTGTTAAACGCTTTGGTGCTTTCTGTGACTCTATGCGATCCTGAAAAGTGAACATGAAGAACATACACATCTGTCTGAAGAAAACCACTTTTGAATAGCTACAGCCCATTTTAGTCTAGATACAGCTTTTGAAGTCCTTCTGATATTTATTGGCACTTTAAATCTGCCATCCTTTTGTTTGGCTCCACTGAGATGCACCCATCTTCAATTTTACCTTGCCACCCACTTGTGCAACTGCAATAAGATGATACCATACATGTAATTTTTGTGTTTCTGAGGGGACTATGGTACACCTGGAGTTCTGCCTCAGACTTGGCTTAATCATGCCAAGGTTTGTGAACTCTCTGTTTGAACCTGTTTAGGAATGATCCTTGTGCTGCTCTTTTTTACAATGTTGTTTTACCAGTTTGTTGACATTCCCATCTGGAAGGTGAGAAAGTATTTTAAGTCCTTTCAGCACTGGACTGAGAAAAGGTATTGTAGCATTCCTTCATGTTGGTTATGAATGTTGTTTCCTGCAAAACTCTGATATTGCCAATCTACTTGCTTTATTTCTTTGTTTGCAACTATGCTTTCCATTGAAAGAAAAGACAATAGATACACTAGATGTGTCAGGAAATTCCTTTGTTATACTGATGACAGCCTAGTTCTATCTTTAGCCTTGTATTCTGGTACTGCAAGGTCCAGCCTTCCCTTTATGAGGATACGTATGACCTGGAGGAAGAACTTTCCTAGCAGAAAGTTTGTTTCCACTGTGCAACTATGTCAGTTGATTAACTCAAAGATATTACTTCGCCTTACAAGTCTTGTCCTTCTGAGCAAAGGAAGAAAGTTGACTAAAGCTATATATAAATAATATGCTGGCTCTCCTGTGGAAACTCTTCACGTGCATGCTTTCTAAGTGTAAAGTAATGTATCCCTGTGTGGAAGCAGGGCAAACTGCTGCACAGTACTGCAGGTTAAGAGAGTTCATGTAGCAGTAACTGAGGCAGTGAACATGCTGTAAATCTACACCCTGGTTTCTCCTGGTCATTTAGGCTATGAGTACAAGACTGTCAAAGTGGATCCTCACCATGTGGTACAGTGTGTTTCGCTGTGTTATGAGCTGGCTTGTGTAACCTTTCTGAACATCCAGTCTTCCTCCAGCATTTGTAATATCTTCCACTGCTTCGAATGTGCCAGTATCACAAATTCGTAATGCAGCTTTTGCAATGTACAGAGAACAAGGTTCCTCTCTGTTCCCAGGGTACAAATACTCTTCCAAGTGACCAATGCGTCAGGAACCTGGAGGCTTATTGGAATTTTTACTGCAGGTGCTTGCAGGAACATCTGACCTGAGGGCAAGTAAAACCTGTTCCCCTTCACCATGCATACAAGTCCCGTGGCCTCCTCCCTCATACATTACACATCATCTGTGGTGTCTTAATCCTCATTCTTTTCTCTTCCCAGGACAGTGTGATCCCCTGAAATTGCTTTGAGCTCTGTGAGGCAGGCAAGAAGCCAGTGGCAAAAAGAGGCAGGTTTGTCTTGTAAAGCTTTAGAAGTTAGTTGAATTTTTAAGTCTTAAGACTGATAGGAGCTGTGGCTTTCACAGATCTCTCACTTCTTGGGGCTTAGGGTCCCCTGTTACAGTAACTTTTCAACTTCACAGGTTTGTTTGGGAAATTTGACGAGGCCTTCTTTGGGGTACCATCCTCTACTTATTGTTGGGAATTTGTCTCTCTGGTGTCTCACAAACATACTTGTCAAGCTGTCATTGAATCCTGTGCATTTTGTGTCTTTTAACTCAGAGTTTAATTCAGAGTTAAAAAGATAGCTCTGTTTTCTGGCCGTGCCAGCATCTCCATAATTTTCATCAAAGTTCAATGTCTTGCTGTCCTTTTGGGCCTCCAGCTTACCTTTCTCTGTGTAAACCCAACTGCTGTTTTCACCATCCTGGATCACACTGAAGAAATTGTACTTTCTAAAGCTGTGGCCAGCATCATATGCTTTATGGGAAGATGCCTGGTACCCTGAAGAGTATCATTCCTTTGCCAATGCATAAACCTTCCTAATTCAGAGTATGTCTTTTCCAAGCAAATGAATGTTCTGCCAGGATACTTGCGTATAGCCAGTCCTTTTTCTTTTGGACTGGTGGTCTTTTGGATTTACTGGTGTTATGTGTCAGTGAGCAAAATCTAGCCAGCAGCATTTGTCACTTATTCCAAACTTGTCTTTTTCCATTCTCTTGCTGTTAATGTTTATTTCTGTCATCATTTCAGCATCCTTCTGCAAGTTTAAACACACCTCCCCTGCTTGCCTTCCCTTCTGTTGCTTGAGTCAGGTTCTGGATGTCATCCTTTAAGCCTCTGCGCTCATCCATAAGATTCCAACTGAGCTTTCCTCCTTCCTCCCTGCCACCCAGTCTGCTCTCATTGCCTGTTTTGTGTACATTGTTCACTCTCAATTCTGTGCTATTCCATACTGTTGGTCCTTACCTAAATATGTGTTAATTCTACAGAACAAGCCCATTAAAGCTGTTACTCAGTTTTCCTGGGTTATTCTGTACTCTCATTTTATGTGCCTCTATACTGTAAGTTTAGGGCTGCGACACTGGTTGGTGTTCTCTGCCTAGCAGGCTGTGTACACTCACTGTGCTCATACATTAAATGATCCTAAAGGTCTGTTAAGGATCTCACATGACAACTGTTGCCAATGTGCTGTACTGTGCTTGCTGGGAGGTTTGAGCCTGTGGATGTAAACCCAGGAGTTCACAGAACTCCAGGCAAATCGGACCCAGAGACTTGCTTCAAGCCCTTTTTAGATGTGTGTGGTGGTAGTAGAAGAGAGAGGGAATGTAATGTTGTGGTAGAGGAGATGGGAAGCAGAGTAACACACAGATAGTGAACTGCCTTTTAAGCACTTAAAGCCAGGCGATAGATGTGGCTGGGAGCCATTAGTCGCTTTCTGAAGTGTCTTTGCCTAATCCTAGCTTACTTACGCCATGTAAAACTTAATTTGTGGGTTTGGGTGTTAGTTACGTGATTAAACTGGCAGTTTGAGAGGACAGAACTCTGCCATGACATCAACTTTCCACTGAGTTATTTAAAAAGCTAGATTTTTATGGTTTTTTTTTCAATCCTGTGATGGATCATCAGTTTAATACTAGTAAATATTTCTCATTGTAAGAACAAACTTCCTTTTATAGTATCCACATGCTGCTGTTTTCACTGAATCCAGCACAGAGCTATTTCCTATTTCTGATCACCTCACACTCAGCAGCTCTTGTGTGTTCACATGCTCACGCTCTCTCTCTCTTTTTTCTTTCTCTTTTGGCTTTTTTAGCCTTGTTGGTCTATTATTGTGTCTTTGGCCAGACAACGGCAGCTTTCAGCAGTTAATGGGCTGCGAGCAGGAACCATCAGCTACTTGTGATGGTTCTGCCTGTGAGACCATGATGTCAGCAGCTACTCTGGGTTGCTTTACCATCTGCTGCTGCTATTGCTTTGGTGTATGTGGAAAGAATGTAAACAGCACTTTCCAGATGTTCTCAGGGCAGCTGGAAAACCATAAATGGACTGTTTGGTTCAGGAATACTACTAACCTGTTTAGGAGATGGCAGTGAATACAGTCATAAAAACTTATAGCTCCATGAGTAGCCTGTGCAGCACGCTTTGTCATGTGTACTGCGGTGCGTTGCTGGAGCAGTTAAGTGATTACATAGCTTGCTCAGGACTTGAGCTGGGCAGATGAGCTATCTTTATACCTGCTCTCCTTCTCTCTCTTATCCTTCCTTCCGCCAGCTTCAACTCCTGAATGAATCAGAGCGACAATGTCCTTTGAATCTCATGCAAGGCAAATGCTGTTTTGTTCCCCCAGAGTGTCTCCAAGTTGTAAGTGATCTCAACAGATGAAGAGTGAATAAAAGAGGATCTAGTTTTTAAACTCTCAGTATAATATTCGGTGTAGTAGGAACTGCTGAATAAACATGGGGGTGTTTCATCTTGCTGCAGTATAGAATACAGATTTGGAAGCCGGTGTCTCTCATGTCTCTCCGGAGCTGGAAAAAGCATCAAATCTCACCTACTTGTGGTATATCCGAATAAAGTCTATTTTGGGGGAGAACCAGTCACTTCCTTCTTTAGGGTGTGTGTGTGTGTTTTTAATGCACTAATTAATTTTTATTGAGTGGTGGAAAAACTGATGTCAGAGCTGCATTGCGGCTGGAGGCGCAGGAACACAAGGTTGTAGGAAATAATACAGCTAACATAAGGGCAGTGAAAGTTTAACCATGCAGAGTTTAAAATAGCAAAGCTGAGCCATATGGGTATTAAAAGATATGACTGAGTCAAAACAACGGTCTAATATTAAACTGGATTTTGGTGGGGGAGTAGCAAACTTCTTGGGTTAACTTATCTTGTGTATCTGGTGTCCAAGGGTAGGTTTCTTGTCTCAACACCTTGATTTCTGAATTCAGTATTGGCAGGTTTTGGCTATTGCAGGATGCAAACTAGAAGGGGCAATACAGGTTATGTCTTAACTGTCTTTTTGCCAGGCCTCTTCAGTCAGAAGTCTGTAGAGTATCCTTTTCCTTTTACGGCGGTCTATAAACTTGTCCAACATGACTTCTTCCCTGGCACCTCTCACGGTTCAGATTGCATAGATCCATGACAGCAAGGCGGAGGGAGGTGGAGAGAAGTGCTATGGAAATTGGAGCCAAAAAGGAGCACAGTTACATAATTGTACAAAAGAAAAAGGGGTTTTGTTTTGCTTTTACTTGTCATATCCTTTTGCAAACTGAAAAAAAACGCTGGAAAGCTGGATGGAAAAAGTTCAGCGTCATTCATCCCTGTGGCGACATGCAATGTATTGAAATGTTCCACCTGTTTTATGGTTGTTGCTTTTCCTCTTTCAGGTTTGACATCTACAGGAAGGTGCCAAAAGACCTTACACAGCCAACCTACACAGGGGCTATTAGTAAGTAATACTTCTTTTTGATGTGCTTGCATACCCTGGTATAAAATTAAAGATAATTTGTCTTCTCTGTCTCCAGGGAGTTGTTTTTTTTAAAGGGATATTAAACACAGGAAAGTGTATCCTTTGTTGCTGAGACAGCTTGTTTTGCCCAGTCTGTCAGGTTGTACTAAGTGGTGGAGTAGTTTGCCTGGATTCAGAATCAAAACAACTAAAAGTAGTTGTCATGAAAGAGAGATCCTGAAAGCCAGCACTGAAATGCCCACTCTGGTAGCTACTGCAGTAGGTGGAGAGCTTCTTGGTAGTGTCTTCCCATGAACAGAAACTGTGAGTCTGTGCCAAACACTGACCAGGGGGATGACTGCAGGGTTTTTTTACCCCTTCTGATAGTCATCCCCTCAGTTAGTGTGAAAACCAGCTGGTAGCAGTTGTATACCCAGGCGTTTGCTTGCTGAAAAAACTGGAGGAACCCAACTACTGCAAATGAGGAATCCAGGTTCCAGGTCAGTAAGAGCAAGGTGGGTGGCAATACACGTGGGCTGACAGTGAAGATGATTTGGGAAACATATATTTGTCTCACAGCGTACTCAGGAAATTCATCTGATGCTGTAGGTGGACTAAAGAGCAGAGATCTTATTTTGTTGTTATTTGTCATGCTTTTAAAGAAGAAAATTTGCTTGGTCAGAAACAACCGATAGCAATCCACTCTCACTCCCATGTATCAATACATAGACTTTGGCTGATATAAATCTCTTGCCTTGGGCCCCTTTTCCTTCCTTCCTGCTCCTGAGGGAGGCTGTTGGCTGAGTAATGCAGTTTCACACAATTATATGCAGTGAGCGCACTGTGCAGAGTGGTAAACATTGATCAGGTTGGTCCTGCCAGGCCTGTAATCAGATGCCTAATGCAGCTTTCCTGTTCCATTGAACAGTGACTTCCTTTGATCGTGTAGCTGTGCTCCATTCATCCATTCCTGTAGATGGGTCAGTAGCCTTGTATGTCATTGCTGACGTGAGTGATGTCATATCCCTTGGTGAGAGCAGGCATCAAATTGAACTGACTCAGTACCAGTGAATCAATGGACACAAAGGAAAGCTCTTTGTGAGCTAAACAACCATCTCACTCCTTACTGAGAGGGTGGTCAGAGACTGGAACAGGTTGCCCAGGGTGATGTGGAGTCTCCATCCTTGGAGATATTCAAAAACAACTAGACCTGACCCTGAGCAACCTGCTCTCACTGACCCTGCTTTGAGCAGGGGAGTTGGACAGGATGATCTCTGGAGAGGTCCCTGCCAGCCTCAACTATTCTGTACTTCTGTGAAGATAGTACATTACTCTAAATATTTACTTTCAGAGAGGCCTTGTCCTCTGTTCTGCAGACTGCTAAATTACTTGTGTGTTGACTCCCTTTTAGGTTTGCTGAAGCTGTGAATAAAGAGCTTGAATAAAACTGTTTGGTAATTTAGAGGCGTATGAGATCTAGTGTTTTGAAAGAACACTTTGAACTTGTCGGTGATCCTGCCTTCTCTTCTGTTTTGGAAACTAAGAGTTCCCACACTGTAACTGAGAGAATTTGTCTTGTCATGAATCACCTGCAAAAGAGTATGTTTTAGAAACAAAAAAACCATCAAAGGCCATTCAGTGTTAGGCTTTCTGATCTGCAGTAAACAGCTCAAGTGATAAGTCTGTTGTGGGAAGGCTTGAAGGCTGTGACTCTTACTTAAAATTAATAGCTGACTTATTTCTCTCTATTGTTATTTGCAGCTTCTCAGGCTTTGATTTTCTTCTCTAACTGGTTCTTCTTCTTTTTGTTAGAGTGTTTTTAGACAGCCTGATACAAGCTTTTGAGCCACATGGGCAGCCACAAGCTGTGGTGACTTTGCATGTGAGGATCTTGTGTGCAGCTTTGCTAATAGGCTTTCTGTCTGACCAAGCCTGTGACTTGTAATTTGAAAGCCAGTGATCTTGCATGTTGTAGGAGGCTACGAATGAGACCAGCCCATTGCCATGCCAGTTTGAAGCCTGGGAAGGTTGCATGATTTAGCGATAAATGCTTTAGGGAAGTCAGCTTGTAATAACATTGGGGGCTTGAGGGTAGGGGAGGAAGATTCTGCCTCTCAAAAATCTTTTAGTCTAGTAAATATGTGAATCAACTATGGCTGCAACTCAAGTTTGGCTTTCTTTAAGTCCTTCAAGTTTTACAGAGCAGATATAAAATAGCCCATAGTAGCTAACTATTAATTTAGGCTCTTCCCACATGATTTCTGCTGAAACTTCAGTATCGCTTCTGGTGCTAAAGGCTTTCTGAAATAGGAGTGGATTTACTGCAGGATTCCTAGTTGCTTTTGGATTGTAAAACGGCCTTTTCTTAAATAATAAAAAAAGGTTTGAGGTTTATTGAGGAAGAAGGCATAGATCACATTACAGACGAGATGGAAAATACCAGCTCTGCTTCTGACCACCAGGGCTAAAGTGGCCAACTCTTCTAGGAAAGCAGCAGCTCAGGAAGATTAAGTGTTTAGGGTATTTTGGTGGGGAAGAACAGGCGATTTCAAATGCAAGCTGATTCAGAAGCCAACTGGGGGTTATCGAGGCTTTGTATTATGAATGGTTTTATAATTTCAGAAGTTGCAGTGAATGCAGTATAGAAGATATTTCAGATACGTGTAGCAACACTTCCAGCTGGTCAAAATTTGTAGGAATGAGGGAGCCAAGAACAGTCCACTGCAGTTTACTGGGGTGAGGTTTGTATAGAACAACATACCCACTGGTGTGGGCTTCTCTGGAAAGCTGTGCAGAAGTTACTCATTCCTTTTCCTCAGTAAAAATCTCTTCTTTCAGGCAGCATTGCGATCCCTGTGCCACTCAGCCAGTCGTGCCTATTGTTGTCACTCTTCCACCAGATGCTTGTACCAGTCTCTGCAGCCCTTCCCACCCCTGTGTACTGTGTCTGTGATGCCAGCACACGGCCGTTCTAACAGACCTGACCAATGTGGTGACAACTTGGCCATGTTTGGGTATGTAGGCAGAGCAGCAGCACATGCCCTGGCTGGCTGACAGTTGGCATCTGGCTGGACAGGAGCAGTCTGACTTCTTGAGAGAGGGGCCTGCAACTAGGACAGCTGCTGTAGCAATCCTGCTATTCAACAGTCAGCGTGGATGCATAGTTTGCATGCACATGTTGTATGCACACATGGTAATGTTATCCAGAAATACTCCGTGCTGTTTGGAGGCTGGAGTTTTAAATACACATCAGGAAATATCAAAGTTATGATTCACATGGCATCTGTAACAAGACCCGTTCCTTGCACTTCATAGCAGTTTGCTCCATTGAATAATAAATACTAATAATTTTATGCCTTAATATAGACATGGATTCACATTCTCAGTCTGTATGATGTGTTAAACACTGCATTTCTTTCATTTCTTGTGGGGTGGGGAGGAAGAGTCAGGATTACATAGATGGGGTATGTATCAGAAGGGTTATGTATGAAAAGGTTAGGTTGTCAAAATTAGTGTAGGAAAAAAAGCTTGGCAGAGTTTCCCATCTTTTGGGGATTAGGGATTAGCCAACAGCAGTGTGTTTCAGTGTTGTCTAACACAAGCAACCTTTGATATATTGATCGTGTTATCATATTAGAGCTTTAAGAAACCTGTCTTACATGGTCGTTTGAGCTCTGTGGGAACATTGCAGTGCTCTGGCTGTTAAGCTTTATGCATGAATTGTTTTATTCTGTCTGATCCTAGTCTTTAATCTACTTTTCCAAATAAAATGCAGTTGTCACATGTCGGTGGCAAGAACTGCACATTTGCATGGAAGCAAGTAAAGGCCTTCACTGTGAAATAAGTAGCTGAAGCAGTGTGTGCATAAATTCTTATGCTGGGAACATCGTATATGCCTGCAGCTCAATGCTAAGGAGAGGCGCTCATATTCTGCAGCTGAAAAAGTGTTGGCTCTAGAGACAGTTTAGTGCATAAGACTTTCACATAAGTCTCACACCAAAGATAGCCGCCTGCCCTGAAAATGTGTGTGTACAAGAAGAGTTCAACACAAGAGCAGCCACACTAGATAGGTCAGTGCAAATGTCCATGCAGCCTAGTGTCCTCTTGCCAGGAGTGGCCAGTAGCAGAGGCCTGAGAAAGAGCATGAGGACAGGTTAAACACATCACCAGGCTTTGCTCAGTTGGCAGTTCTGAATTTCCTGATCTGGAGGTGGTTCTTTTTTGTTAAGTAGCCCTCAATGCATTTATTCTTCAGGGCATATATGATTCCCTCTTGAAATCTTACAAACTCTCTCTTTTTCTTTCTTTTCTTTTAGTATCCTCAACATCCATAGCCAGAAACTTTCAGAATTTAGTTGGGGGTTCTGTAAAGGAAAACAACTTCTTGTTTTTAACCTCCCCTTTCCCTCCCATTCCCATACTGGAAGAGACAGTGAGTGGTGTTCCCCATTCATCTCCTTTGGGCTGCTCGTGATTTTATATACCCATCTCATGTCCAGCCTCATTAATCACTTTTGACAGGCTTAAAACTGACTATGAAGTTTGAAGACTGGCAAAGCATTGAGGAGCTTTGAAAGTCAATCCCTGTCGAGCGTTCCAGGGCATTCTTGCAGGATTTTTTTAGATGTAGGTTAGTGGAATTTTACTGGACTGTATTTGGCAAGTATTGTCACAAGCCTTCACTGAAAGAGCTGAAGTGGAAAGTGGACTTGAGGGAGCAAATACATTGTATACTGAAAAAGGAGAAGATAATGATATAAATGGCAGAGAAGAAAATTAAAAACTCAGACGAGAGAGAAAGCTGCAGGAGAGAATTTACAGTTAGTAGTGCCAGGCTTGCATAGATGTGCTGGAGAGCAGAGACGTGTAGCTGATGCTATAGGAAAGCCTTTACAAGATGGTAGCAAGCAGAGAGGAATATGGGAAGCAATTAAAGAAGAAAAGGTTGTCTCTGTGTCAAACATTCTCCCCTGCATACTGCCAAAGATTAGAGATCTTGTGTCTTTGCTGTTGGGTGGTGAACAGTAAGAAACACTGGATCAACTAGTCTTGTGCCTAGATTACTTTTTTGTGCTCTTACATAGGTATAGATGTTATTATCAGACTTTGCTGCTGTGCTTGAAGACCTTTCTCCTCCCCCATGCTGTGGTGCACTGTGCCAATGGCTTAGCTAGGTTACAGCAGTGGTGTTGTTCTCTGTCTTGACAGCCAAGACTTGAAACCACCCGTGTAACCATCTGAGGTTTCTCTTTAGAAATGAATATCCACTCTTGCTTCCCTGTTTTTTTCTACTGGTCTTTGTCAATTTTCTATTTTTCTTCACCCTAGCCAATAGATTTTTTGACATCTCTTCTAATCCCTTGCACTTTTCAGAGGGTCAGTACATTAATCTACTGTTGAAATTACTCTGATGAGGAAGGGGAAGCAACGCATTTCTCTTTCCTCAAAACTATACACTGACTAATCTGAAGAATGAGGCACAAGGCATTAAGTCACTCAAGGGTCTGTCTCGGTATTTGCCTTAAGTACCTCCTCTTTCCTTCCCTTGCCTCTCACATTCTCTACCAAAGGAGTTTGTACAGACGTAATTGTGTGATAAAATTGCTCCCCAGCCAGTTGTTGCTTGAGCTTCCTGAAGGGATGGATGTTCAGGCTGTATAGGTCATGTGGAATAAAGTTGAGGAACAGCGTTTTTCTTGCGTATTTCTCAATCCTAATTAGTGGCTATAGTGAAGTGGTCATTTCCAAAGAGTGCTTGATCATTGCAACTCTGTGGGGATTGAGGAGTGAGCCAGATTGTACCCCTGTTGTCACAGCCCTGGCATAGCATGCTGTTTCCTGGTTTACTCTTTTCTATACTGATTCATGGTGAACTTGGGCATCTTATAACAGATACGCATTGCAGGCCTGTCTGCTTGAGCTGGCACATCCCTGTCTACTCAAGTCATCCCTGCTCAAGAGGATTTACAGTCGTGCCTCTTTCCAGCCTTTCTGAGTGGGCCAATGAGCTTGTCACTGCTGCGCGAATGTCACTGTAAAATGTTCTGAGTAGTTTCCTGCTTAAGAGTAACCAGTAATATGCCAGTTACTTTGGGTTCTCTCCTTTTAGCTTTAGGTTGGCATTCTTAGAAAAGACATGAGATTTGTTGTCCAGATACTTTGCAGTTCCTTCACTGGGAATTTTCCTTCTCTGAAGAGTCAATATATGAGCAAATGGAGAAATGTATCGGGCATTAGCTAGACCAGTCCATTATGGCCATGTCTCTGCTGTGCCAGCTCTATCTAGTGGGTAGTGCAGGCTGTGAGATGACTTACACACAGACTTAGAACTTGACAAAGCAGCACAATGTTTCCTGATCCTCATACATCATACTGTAGCTGACTGTATGCTTTCGAAGCAAGGAGATGCTGATTCTTTTTCCTTTATGGAGATTTTAGTAGTAATAAAATCACATTTGGAGTAAGGGCTCCAAAGAAGTCATACTGTCAAGCAGCTTTGTCAAGGAGGAGGGAATGCTGGCAGACCAACATTGTGTGCTGGTGATGGAGAACACAGGAACCATGTGGAGATGGAAATCACAATGGAAAAGGTGGCCCAAGGGTTAAGGTATGCCATTGAAGTTGCTGCTCTGATGGCCTCATCTGAGTTATTGTCTATGAAGAGTTTTAGCTCTCAAGTGTGTTTGGGTGGCATATCCATGGGAAGAATAATATACCTGTATGAAAACGTTTTTTGTCTTTGATAGAGATATGAAACTAACCTTTTCCTTGCCTTGCCTCTTTTCCAGTTTCTGTCTGCTGCTGTCTTTTTATACTGTTTCTTTTCCTGTCTGAGCTCACCGGATTCATAGCCACTGAAATGTAAGTAAGAATCACGTTTTCCTTTGTTCAAATGTATATACATATATGATTCTTTACAATTTTACTCAGTTATCTTGGAAAAATGCCTGTAATTACACTAGGTCAGTTGTCTAATGGTTTTAGGTTCCTTTTGGTTGAGTCTGAATTTTCATTCATTCAGGCTTTTACTTTGCTAAGTTACGCTAGGAAAACTTGGTTCTAAAATATTTCTGATGAAGAAAACTGTTCCAGACCTGCTTGATCCTTTATTAGCTGCATACTGGGTTTCTCTGTTGAGCACAATGAATATTTTTCATGTGACCACAGATCACATCAAAAACTTCTGATCCTTTTCAGTTCTCTGGTAATCAGGTGTAAGGCAGCATGAATGCTAAGATGATCAGTGCCACTCAGATGTAGTTTCCCTCTTCCTCCTTAGGCTGTTGATGTCTTGTTCTCATCAGAGATTCATTTCTTCTCTCCTCCTGAATAGGCATTTTCCTCTGTACTCGTCTGATTCAAAGTGATTCTCAAAAACTAGTGTGTTTTTCATTGGTGATACCATATATTTAAATGTGTGGTGCCTATTGGCTGAGTCCACATGGACGAGGCTCTGAGACAATATGGGACCATTGCAGATATGGTGGGATCTCTGATGTTTTCTTTTCCCCTTGCTTCCCTGTGGATAAAATGAGCATCACATTCTGCGAGCCTTCGCTGGATATTTTTGGAGATGCTTTTGGAAAAATTAATTGTATAAACCATGATTTATTATTAATAATAATAATACCTTTATTTGATATCAGAGCTGAATCTCTGATACATGCAGATAGCTTAATTCACACGTGAGTTTTATCTTCTTTCTTCTCCCTGTTGAGCCTTACTTGGAAACTTAGTTGACAGGTTTTGTGCCCGAAGACAAGTTGTTCCAGGTAACCTCTTTGGGACCGTTCTTTGAGCAAAATAGAAATAATTTCCACTTTAAAAAAATACTCATAGAACAAGTATTTTACTTGATCATATTTTTTTTTTTTCTCCAGTTCTCATATTCCTTTTGCCTTGAAGTAAACTTTTCTTAGTAACTATTAAAAGAGGTAACTTCAGTACCAGAGATACCAGGGTTCTAGGAAACATTCTCCATCATCCTGCTGATGTGGCAGTGAGCTCACCAAACTGTGATGCACAGTTCCTGGATAGTTAGGAAGGGTGGAACTTCTGTCAGACTTACGTGATGGTCCAGATAGCGACAGATGTGACTGTTGAGCAAAAAGCTCTGAAACACGTTGGATTCACGTGCTGTATTTAGATTGACTGTGCTTTACGTGTCTTCTGATAACCATGTGGCTTTTGCATTGTTTTTGTGCAGCTCTGACTTGGGTCAAGAGTATAATTTCAAGAATAGCTTTAACTTTGAGTAATGTTTAACCTTAAGACAGTAGCGTAATCCAGCTCTAGCTAATTTTTACACCCATTGCACGTTTACATCAGAGATGGTATCTTAAGTTTCTTACCTACTGTTCCTTTGACTCCAGTTCCGTACATTTGCTTGTAAAATATGAGGGCCACCTTATCAACCCACTTGTCTCAGGAGCTGAGTTTTCTTGGTTGTCTTGTTTTAAAAAATAGAGTAAAGCTACACAATAGCATCAAGTAAAATAGTACTTTTTCTTGCTCTCATCTTAGATCTCATTCTCTCACCTGGTTTTATTTTTTCTTAATGCTTTACCAGAGGAATTAGTAATATTTACCTTATTAGCTGAGTACACACGCTTTTATGTAGTGGTAGTTTCCTGACTAGAGATTTCTTTCTGAACAGCAAAACTCTGTGATTCTCTGAGGCCTCTTCATGCTTTTTTATGAACAAGATGATGCATTTTCTGCAAGGATGTTAAAGGTGCTATAAGTTCCTGCATGCTCAGCTGACAAGTTTCTCATTAAAACATCAGAGAGATGGTAACTGCATTTCCCAGCAGGATCTGGGCTTGTAAGCAATAGAGCAGAAAAATTTTAGAGAGGGTGTCATGGGAGAGACTGAGACAAATGAATGCAGGAAACTGATTCGTCATGGACCATCCAACACAATAGCTTGCAGAATATGAAAACCTTGTTCTGATGAGTTATAGGTCATCAAAATCGCTCTTGCTGGGAACAGATCACCCACAGCATTTGTGAAGAGGCTCCCCCTCTAACAGCGGAAATACTCATTGCTTTCTCTTCTGGGAAGCCCAGTACCTTAAAGGTGTCCAAAGATGATGTGAACCTCTTGTGCTTCCACTTGAAGTGTGTATTACTGGCAGCGCATTGCGAGGTAGTATACTCTTATCATTCAGAATAGGGTGCAGAGGTGTGGAGCTCTATGTGGTCTGGAACAGTGTGAGAACTCTGTGCCACCATTTAAACTGTGTGGTATCTCACAAAGATATTTAGAGACTTATTTGTCCATGAATCAAATACTTCTGAAGATATGGAAGGTTCCTTACATGCTCACTTTTCAATTCCCATGAACTTTTATTGCAAGCTTTAAGTTTCTTTTGTATTGAGTCTCCTACAACAGATATCTCTCCCACCTTGAAGTTTCCTAGAGTCATCCAGGGACTGAATGATTAACTAGAGTGTGCACATGTAAAGGGGTGAGCTTTCCTGCTTTGCCAGTGCCAACTGCACTATGAGATTGCAGTAGTTTTTCTCCTTTTTTGTCTTATTTTCCTTAAAGCAGTCATGCGCTTGACAAAGCTGGATTGCATGGGAATAGCTGCACATTTTTGATGGCAAGGTGAAATTGAGAGCAGTTGGCCTGGTACCTTACATCAGAGACGTACGAGGCTTGCTGATGTAGACTCATGCTTACCTCATAGCCCTATTATGCTGAGTAATTGTGCGTGGTGTGTGTGCATCGACAGCCTGCTTCAGGGCAAGTCAGCAGCAACCTCAACAGCAGTGGTACCCACAGGATTAACTGCCTAACTCTAACCAACGGGAGATTCCTTTAGTATCTGCATCTGAAGTGAGACGTTGATGTGGTGGTTTGAACTCTTGCTGCAATGTGAGAAAATAGTGTCTCACGTTTTATTTTCTCACATTGCTCCACACCATGCTAACTCTTAATACTTGCTAGCTTCTACCCACTGTTGGACTTTCTTCTGCATTTACATGACTGTAGCAACTTAAATTCCTGGTATTACTAGAAATCTCAGTTTGGTCACTCTTGCCCAACTTCAAAGCTGGTTTTCCTTGACCAGCCCATTGTCTTAGCGTTTATAGTCTCAAGTGCTAAAGACTTGTCTGGGTGGCAGAAAGCCAGGAAATTACACCCTCATAACAGTAAAACCAAACAGATTACCTATGTGGGGAAGACAGTGTGCATCACAGCAGCTATGTTGTAACTCGTGTGGGCATTTCTAATGAGCACTAAGATTGCATCTGTGCACGGGAGCTTACTTCAGTTAGGAAGTTGAACTAAGACGCTGCGCATTAGAGCAGACATGTAGGAAGCTCATGTAAATGCACATCCTATTTTGCTGCTGACCAGCTTCCTGTGTAGACGAGCCCTGAGTAGGGTAGAAAACTTGTAGTTTCTCATCTTCTACATGTATTACATGACCCTGAACAGGCAGTTCTCTGAGCAGCCATGAAGAAAATTGAAGGTTAGTTCTTAAGTGGGGCTACATCCTTTTCAGCACAGTTAAGGGCTGGTGAGGGAAGAAGTTTTTCTTCTTTGCTCAGCTGCAACCCCTCATTGCAGTTAAGGGGATGATGCGTTGAACTCTGGAAACAAAGGATCTTCTTGATTACTTTTCCCACATCCGTGTCCAGACTGAGAGTGAAGACTTAGTCTGAAACAATAGCCTAGATTAACCTCCTCAATTCTGTAAAAAACAAATAAAGAGAAGGAGATCCATGCTCCACATTTGAACCTCTGCAAAACTGACAGTATCAAACACAGTTGCCCCACTGAACAAATGACTCGAGTGGCTGAAGAAAAGAAGCTAAAGCGTTAAATGTGTCTGGTATTTCCTGGGCAGGTTAGGTAGTAGATTGAGAGTTGAGAGTAGATTGAGGACTAGAAATTGCTGGGCATACCTCAGCAGCCTTCCTCATTCGTTGTGCTGTTGTGTTGCAAATCAAGAATGCAGAAATGGCCTATCTCTTTTTCTAATTAACTCAGATCAGTGCTAGAAGTTAATAGCTGGCAAGATGATAATCTTGCTGTTTTATCACTGTAATTAGGTCATGAATTATGTTCTGCAGGATCAATAAGAGTTTTCCAAGTATTCCATCATTAAGGATGAAAGATGTAATTAACTAATCTAGTCTGCCTTGCATTGGCAGCCAGGGGAAGGGTAGGAGGGTATAAATATGATAGTTGTGGTATGAATGTAGCTGCTCAACAGTAATTAATCTACCACAGCAGACTGCAGAAAGCAACAGACTGTTCCTGGCAGTGTTTTCTCTTTCTTTCTTTCTTTACTTACATTGAAGTAGTAACAGGCAAAGAAGAGTCTGAAGTGACATGTTTGCCACTTAGAAGGCTGTGTCCCCCTGCAAGGCAGTTAATTACTTCAGCAGAATATTCGTAATAAAAATACTGCCTTTGCATAAAAGCATCAATCATGAGCAGTGTCCAGATCATTTGTTCGTCTGAGGTGACGGGATCACTCACTGGGGATACCTGCTTGCTTTCATCTTTATGAAAAATACCTTGGTCAGTGTATGAGTATCACACAGCCCAGCTCCTGTGCTGGGGCCACATCACGTGCAGCACAGCTTGGCTGTTCATGCAGCCTGTCAGGTACCCCGAATGTTGGAGGAAGCAAAAAGGAGCTTCTGAGACCAACATTGCTTGTTCACACTGGATTCATTTGCATGCCCAAGACTCATCCTGCAGTGAAACAGAATTGTTATCATACCTGCCTGCAAAGGGGTTTTTGGCATTTAGCTCTCCAAGGTGCATGGAATGTGTTTTGTGGCTGTTGGCCCATGAAAATTTCTCCTGACAACCTGCAGGATCAAGCTGTACCTTCTCTAAGCAGCAGAGTGTGATCTTGGTGCAGCAGGAGTTCCTTCTGCTGGAAACCATAACCTTGGAGCAGAAGGTGGGAACACAATGCTACAACTCATGTGTTCTGACACCAAGCTGGAGATACAACTGCAACTTCACCAGTTCATCCAGAGGAGGCAGATGAAATGCTGGAGCAAACTGGACCAGCATAGGGAGTACAGCGTAGTAGTCAGAGAGGAATGGGAGTTGTAATCCTGCTCTTGCCATGGACTGACCTTGAGACAAACACTTTTCTGTAGAAGGATGTAATACTTAGCTGCCTACCTCTCAGGGGTGCTAAGAAGCTTAATTAATGTTTGCGTAGTAACATGGAGCTTACCTAATAAACGGTGTTATACGTTTGTGAAGTGTTGTTGTGCCGTTTGGCCTCCTGTACCTGTGTGGGTTAGCAGGAAGCGGAAGGTCGTGTCATGATGTCATTTGCAGTTTCTGACTCAAATCTACATTGACGTCTTTCGAACCCTTCTCCTCTTCCTGCCTCCTGGAGAACTGTAATTCCTTCCTTTGTAGGACAGTGTGTTTTCTGTGCTTCCCAGCTGAGCCAAGACCTAATCTGGGACAAAGACCTCAATGAAGAACTGATTGAGATTCAGGGCATAGAAGGAAGATTACAAATGGCAGAGCAATAGACACATGCACAATTTATTACACAGTAGAGAATTGCTGACCTGCTTGTTGTTTCTTCCTACAAATTGAGAAGAAGATGGGTTGTTTGTCATGTTTTGGGTCTTCTCTGATCTGGCACAACTGAGAAGGTGGTAGTGCTAAAATCTCAGCTTCGATAGTTGTGTTTCTGGAAGGTGGGTGATGAGAGCTGAGATGGAAAATGGAGCAGGAACAGCTCACCTGAGAAGGTATTTTGAGAAGCTTTGGGGTCCCTGAAGAAAGAACAGTTATTTTCCCTTGTAGTCTTAGGGTTCTGGAGACCAGAGAGTGTATCCTGGGAGTTGGAGGACAAAGTGAAATGCAGGTTATGGTTGTATACTATAAGCGGTTGTATTTTCTGTATGGCTGATGACTGGGGAGGAAGGTGACTGGCTCTTTGCTGTGAAAGAGGGAGAAAAAAAAAAGGTAAAACTTGAAGCAGAGACCAGGACAAGGAGGACAGAGGACAAGGAAGATGTGTTTAGAGAGCACCCAGGCAGTGTGTGAAGCTCTGAAAGGTCAATGCAGAGTGTCTGCTCTTGTATTCAGAGGGCCGCAGGCTCTTCAGCTGTTGAAGTGCTGAAGTGTCTAATGTTAGGGGCCAGGGCTGCCGGGTGGGAATATTACCAGGGAAGTTTTGTTTCTGGGGAAACAAAGCTGTTGTGTCATCAATGGGAGTCCTAAAGCATGGGGAATGGGTCTGGCTTTCTTTGGATAAAATCTTACAGGAATGATGAGCCCTCTTGCCGCTGTTTCCCCCTTTCATTCTTTCTCGCGTGCCATTTGTATGATCTGCAATCTCAGCCAAAGAGTCCCTCCAACTTCTTCTGTGTAATGCTGCAAGTTTGTAAGCAAATGGGATAAGCAACTGTGAAGCCCAGCAGCACCACTCAGGAATGTGAAGCATTTTGAAGTGGCTCTTTCTAGAAGTGAAGCAGATTCTTTCTGTGTGGATCACAGCTCCTGCTGTGTGAAGAAACTATCCTCCCTTTCTTGAATCAGTGGTGGGAGGCCCAGCGGGCAGAGAGGTCCACCTCCCACCTGTCCTATTGCCTTCACTGTACTTTCATAGCTCTGCACCTCACCCCTGCTTTATTGTGACACTTCTATTCAAATAGTCCTTAAGAGCAACCAGTAAAATGCCAACTCCTACATGCTTAGGTGTTTGGAGGAGATACATGCCATCTTTGGAGTCACAATACAACACTGTACACTGCCTCTCTAAACAGCCATAGAAGCAGCTGTGTTTATAGTGTCCTTCTGCCTGATCTTGGGTTCTATTTCCCTTGTGATCATCCCAGATTCACTGTTAAGTCCTGTTACTCCTGAGACACTTTATGTTCCAGGACGGACAGCTATAAATTAGAGCCAACTTCGTTTTTTCCACTGGAGACGTTATCCCTTCAGGGAGAGTTGCTAGAGGTGGTAAATAGTGCTTTTTCCCAACATCCCAGGATTGTCTGAATAAATAACAGGAAGGCTGCGTGCAATTTGGCTTCTTGGCCCTGGGCGGGAGGGTAGCAAGAGATGTATGAGTGCCAGTTCTCTGCCAGCTCCATCCTGACTGAGGTGGCAGTGGGTCAGGAGGAGATCCTGGAACAAGTAGCCTTGACCCTGGGAGTCTGCTTCACCTGTGAGGTTTCCACAGTGTATTTTGGGAGTACAATTTCTAGCTGGTTGAAAATGATGATGTTTCTTCTTCTGAGGTTTGTTTGCCTCAGCAAGTGTAGTCTGTGGTGTGTTGTCATTGTGCCTTTGGTTCCCCATAGTGAAAGGAAAGCTCAGTAACAGAGCAGGTCAGCACAAAGGTTGCACTTTGGAGCCCTTTGACCGGGTTTGTTATCTTGGACCCTTTGCTAGAGTTAGTGGTGCCAGGAGGAGGCAGTGGCTGGAGCTGGGAGGAAGAAGCAGGGTTCATTCAGCAGGCAGGGTGCTCCATGAAGGGCAGCACAAAGGTCTGAGGGAGGGAAGGAAGGACAGACTGTCATGAGCTGTCAGATGTCCAAGGATAAAGAGGATTATGAAATTGGGAACATGAGTAGGAGAGGGGCAGGGGGCTACTAGGTGAAGAGGAGGAGGAGGAAGCAGCCATGAGCCTTGCCCAAGGGACAGGTTAGGAACCGTTGGTCCAGTGACGGGAGTGCAGGACAGGAAACCGGTTTCCTTTATCTGCGACTAATGGTCTGTGTGACGTGGACAAACTGGCCTACTTCTCTTTGCCTCAGTGATCCAGTCTGCAAGCGAGTGACCTCACCGCTCACCTTCCTATGTAAGAGCTGCCATAGCCTCCCTGTGCCCCGTTCATCCGTTGACTTCTACCAGCAACCGCGTCTCTCTCATATCACTGAACAGCATATGTGCCTTTGCTTACAGACCATGCCTGACTGCAGGTTTTCTGACAGGTTCCAAACTGGGAATGAGCAAATACAACTATTGACCTTCCTAGAGCTTTCATCCAAATAGCTGGGATGTTCAGCTGCGGAACCTGACGTGTTTCTCTGCCAGCCCTGGCGCGAATGCTGCTTATTGGCAGTAATGCGGAGTTGCCCTCGGCACTGGCTGGGCATGGCCCACGTCTCAGACAGCAGAGAGCTGGGAAGAAGCCAGGTGCTGTTATGAAACAGGTTGGCTGGCAACTGGGATCTTGATGGGAGGACTTGGGGAGCACAGGAAGGTGCACTGCTTTGGGGGATTAATGCCTGTCCTGGCTGGAGCTACTCCTCACAACCCTATTTGGATATATGACTTAATCCCAATCGCTACCCAATCTGCCAGTAATAAACACGTAGAAGATTTAATGCATTCCACCCAGGAGAAGAGGGCTCAGCCAAGAAGCTTCTAACTAGGTCACTGATGAGCAATCTTTCCCCTCCCTCGGTGTCATTTTTATTAATCACTTGAAAAATACGTTGAGTAATGATTGCAAGCAACTTGTCAAGCCAATTAAAAACAGAGAAAGGTAGGGCTGTGAAGCTGAAGACAGATGCTGTGCTGGTTTTAAATGAGTGTCTGTAAACCCCACTGACCTGTGAGTAATTACATCCAAAAGAATTGGCAGCTGTGTGTTTCTCAGTGTGAAGGCTTGTTTCTTCTCAATTCATAGGGCAAACAGTTCATTATGGTCCAGAGGTGTATCATGAGAGCAAAATCGCTTTGAATCTGTCTCGTAGCTGCCCTTAGTCTGGTTTGTCTAATAGCATGTGGACTCTTTGGCAAGGGCTTGTCAAAGGCTTTCATGCACTTTGAGCATTAAATACTTACAGGTAGTTTATTTCATGGAGCTTGCCTGAACGTAAATTCCCTTAGCTCTGTAATCTGTCTGACTGGAAGATAACTTGTCGAATCTTCGTATTTGATGAGGCTGAACAGGGTTGGGCTTTGAGGGAGGAAGAGCTGCTGGGTAATCTCACCATGTTCTTGGTTCAGAGTGGTGGGTTCCCCTGCAGTGGATTCTCTAGGGCTGTTCAACAAATTCGGCTGTGCTTGTGTTGGGGTTTTTTTTGTTTACTTTTTACATGTCAGATGGATTGAATGGGCCAACAATAAATATTTATACTTTTGTATTCCTTTTACTCTGTATCTGTATTTTGTCTTCTGTGAATTATGTGCCAGCACTGTGGGTGCTATGAAACAACATTACTCTTTGGGAAACTTGCATAGTGTTTTAGATCCTGCTGTCCAGGATGTTTCTTCCCATCTGTTCCTGGCTCAAATCCTCTTAATTTTAGTTGTTGCTTTTGGTTACCAGTCGTAGATTGAAATGAGGTATTAAGGAGGGAGATTTATGCCATGCTGCCTTCTCTTGCCACTGCTCTGTCAACTGGGTGGCAATAACAAAAGGCAGTTAGTTACACAGAGCGCTTTCCTGTGGGATAGATGAGAGGGGCCTTTCTATAAAACTATGTGTGAAACAAAACAAAAAGCACACGCTTCCGTGTCTCCTAAAAGGAGTAACAGCCCAGGTATGTGGAGGGCTAGCACACTAGCCTGCTACCACTTTGACATTAACTTCTTGTTTTGTGCCACCTTTGGAAACTCAGGCTAGAGAAGGGGGCAAGAAGCATAAATCAGCTTGTTTAAAGCGTCCTGCACTTGCCAAGCAAGAAATAAAACTAAGTAGTGGTATGCCCCCATGAAGTTGTGGAGGGCTTTTCCTGCTCTCTGGTAACTGTTACAGTCATCACACAGTCAATCCCCCCCTTCATGTCTACTTTTTTTCCCTTCCCATGCAAGTTGTTGGGTTTTTTTTGCTATGAAAAGTAGCTCCGTGCCTGAACCCACCCGTGTTTTCTGTTCTCCAGAGTTAATGAGCTCTATGTGGATGATCCAGACAAAGACAGTGGAGGTAAAATAGAAGTGAATCTAAACATCAGTTTGCCAAACCTGCACTGTGAATGTGAGTACCCCTTTTCACTTCCCAGTTTTTCTTTGTATTTTAAGCAGCACTTGAAACAGACCCAACCTGGTACAGTAGCCCTTCTTCTGTAACAGGGTGGATGGAGATCAAGTAGCTGCAGCCTTTGCCAATACCCCATCGCTTTCTGTTCCAGGCCAGGACACCTGTCTTCTTGGACCCTGTGCTCACTCTGCAGCCTGTGTTAGTGGCTGACCTCCCTTGTTGGCTTCTTTCTAAATATCATTTCCTTTTTTCATAGTGACCTTTTTGTGTCTGGGAGCAAGAAACCTCCCAAGTCTCATTTGTAACTCTGAATGCACCAGCTTGGCTTTTCACAAATCACCTGCCTTGTCTACCTGAAGTTTTTCCATTTGTGTAATTGAGATTGCAGTCAGCTGGCAGGACATGGGAGCTGTGTTTGTGTCAAATAGGCAGTCTGAAAAGTATGGTTACAAAGCTCTTTCTGAAGAGCTGGTATAACTGTTAGTATGTGACAAATGACATTACTAGCGCAGTTTAGTCAAATGTCTGGAAAAAGTATGTGGATTTTTTCCCAGTAAAAGCAGTTCATGTTTTTCCTATGCAACCTTCTTGTTATTTCTTTTGTTTTGATTTTTTTTTGTCTCTTCCCACCCATGCAGTAGTTGGACTAGACATCCAAGATGAAATGGGAAGGCATGAAGTGGGTCATATTGACAACTCAATGAAGATACCTCTCAATAATGGGGATGGCTGCAGGTTTGAGGGCCATTTCAGCATCAACAAGGTGAGTAGGAATGACAGTGGGTGAGTGTGTGCTGGCTAGGGAAATGCTAGCAAGATCCATTTGTAAAATGCCCGTGAAAATCTCTGTGCTGATGTCTCTGCTGTGGAGCTGATGTTCATGTCCGTAGTCACTGGTAAGGTTAAGTCTCTCAGTGCTGCAGAACAAGGTGGGGAGAGGAGGCTTCATAGTTAGACCTATAGAATTGTGTTAGATCAGGCTTTTACTTTGTTCTCCAAAACAGGTAATTGAGGTAGCATTGTTTAACACGAGAGAGCAGCTCTATGTTTTAGCCAGTGCTGTTGCTTTCAGTGCAGCAGCCTGATGTTTAGGGCATGTATGAACTCCCTACAAATGCTAAATGGCTTCTGTGTTTATTCCTCATGACTTTTGCACCTCCAACATCTGACTCACTGTGGAGAGGTCTTTGGCAATAGCTCTATCTAAGTGCTCTTTTATTCCAAGAGCTGCAGAATGACAGGAATGTTCCCTACTAAAGGGTGCCAACGTAACAGAAGCGGCTCCGTGCTGAGATGTTTGGAATATGTGCACGCGGCCTCTGCGCATGCTTTGTTGGGATGCTCCACTTCTGTCTTAAAGAATGAAAATCCAGGCCTGGAGGAGGCTCCTCTCTGGGATGGGTGTGTTCAGAATTGAATAATCTTGCTATGTAATGCTGGAGATGACTAGCTGGGGTGGGAGAGGCAGTGGTGGGGCCCACTGATGTCCTAAGAAGGGCACACCCTTTATTCACGCCTCTTCATGTACCACAGGCTACAAAATCCTATTTCCTTCTTTTCCTCTGGGGTCATGTTAAATCGCATCTAAAAATAACAAGCAGAAGCTCTTACTGATTCTGTGGCATGGAAAGGATTAGGGACTTAAAAGGAGGACGTTTCTTTCCTTGCCTCTGAGCCACCAAGATTACTGGCAGCTGATAGTCCCAAAAACTGGGAGAGGGCTTCTGGAAAGGTAGTTCTTGTTCTGCTAATTCCCAAAGCATAGAGCTGGAATACTTGGGGGTTTTTCTGCTAGATGTGGTGTGTTCTGCTCACCAAAGCAACTCAAAAGAGGGTTGCTGTATGTGGCAGTGAGAAGCTCCCTTCACTGCTTGATCTGTGCGTTGTCTCATGTAGTGGTTGGGACTGCTGTCAGAGGGAGAGGACCTGGCCCAGGGCTTCTGCCTCTGGAAGCCTGAAACTCTAATGTATGATCTGTGGTCCTCATCAGAAGGATGCCTCATACAGGCTTCTGTATGAGCTGGTATCTGGAGTGGGATGTGGCCAGGCTTTGAAACTTGACCAAGGGTTGCTCTTGGGTGTTGTTCTCAAACCTACAGAGGGAGAACATGGTAACAGTGAGATGATTGTGTGTACTACTTACTGCAGAGTCTGCCACCCTGTTTACCGAGTTTGTGTATGACACAGCTTATGTTCACACCTGGAAGTGTTCCCAGGAGTACACTGCTGTTCCTCAAGTCATTTAAATTAGCTTTCCTGAAAGCACATGGAATCGGCATGTGGCCACCCATGGCCCCGCTGGTGAGGTGTCCCTGCAGAGAGCACAATGGATACCAGTTGTATAACCGTCCTCCCACTCTTGTCTTAGGCCATGTCAAATTGCTCCTCAGTGTTGCTTGATTTCCCAACCTCTTCTTGGTAGGAGAAAATTCTTGCACCTTCCATAACAGTGACCGAGCTGAATCTGCTGAAAGACTTCACAGAGTAGGACTAGTGACCTGAAAAGTATGTGATTGCTGGAGTGATCCCATCAGAATGACAACAGGGCTCATTTTCTGTCTTGGAACTGAGTCCTTAGGTGAAATCTGTATGTTTTTGAAACTCCGTATTTCCCTCCATTTAAAGAATTAAACCGAGAACATTCTGTGCTTGGAAGGGCTATTGCCAGAGCTAGAAGCTGAAGATCTAGCTTAGTTCGTATGGGAAACCCCATTGGTTTTGGTGGGTTTTTTCTCCTTACATAAAACTCATTCTTAATGTACAATCTTCTCAAATATAAGGTTGCTCATGACCAGTACTACAATACAAATAGATCCACAGCTTGCTTGGTTTGTGTTGCAGCAGTGGGCCCATTTACAAATGCGAGATGTGGGAGTAAAACATTAAGCAACTGTTTGTTGCCTGTCAGAGACATGAATTTTATTTTAATAGGGATGAAAGACATAGCCTTAAGTGTTAGGAATCTCTAAAGCTGGCAGTGATCCACTCATCACCTCCTAGTCAGCAGCAGTGTGAGGGTGCCAGACTCTTGGGCTGTGGGATGTAACTGATCTCCATTCTGTATGCAGTATGGTGGTGTTGGTCAAGTTGCAGGAAGGTAATTCAGAACCTTTCTCTGACATGCCAGAGGTTGTCCACTGCTAAGTAGATATAGCCTGCGAGGCTGGATGGATCCAGGCATTTCTCCTTCGTATCACAGAGCCTGGCAATGCCTTGAGGGATAAAATGTGAAATCCTGTCTTCCTTGTCTTGGCTAATTTTAGGTCCCTGGTAACTTTCACGTGTCAACGCACAGTGCCACTGCGCAGCCTCAGAATCCTGACATGACTCACGTTATCCATAAGCTCTCATTTGGGGACAAGTTACAGGTGAGTTCTCTTCCCTGAAATTTCCCTTGCTCTAGGGGAATGAATGCAATGAGAGTGACTTTAATATTAGACACTTTGGGTTTATGAAAGGGCCATGTACAATGTGGAGAGAACATGAGATAGGACTGCCTGGGCAAGTAAGCCCATCCCTTGTATTCATAAAATGTACACTCAGTCCAGAAGAGTTTGCAAACTCTTTACATGCCACTTCAGGAGGAAGCAGTGTTCAATCACAAAATAACTCTGATAGTTTTATCTGAAACTGAAAGTGCTTTTGGAAAACTGTGTCGTAATCTTCCTGAAAGGAGTTAGAAATGAGGATTCATGGCTTTGCAAAATGCTCTGCAGTGCTGGTTTCAGTATTAATACAGCTTGCAAAATGGCTATGCAGTACTGTTTTCAGTGTTAATACAGCAATCAAATCTCGACTGCCTTTCAGAGGAGCAGTGAGTGTACTAAGGGAAGATGTGTGCTTGCTACTGTCTTTACCATGGCACCAGTCAAGTTCCTTTTAATTCACTTCATGTACTTGTATAGCAGGCACCTATTAGTTAAATTGGTTCTGTGAAACACAAGTTAGACAGAACTGCAGGTTCCCTGCTGGGAAGAAGGTGGATGTGTGCACTTGCCCAGTGGATGGAGTTTCACCAGGTGTTGCAAGTTATGTAATAATTCCTGATTTCTCAATGAGAACAGATTACAGCACTTCGCTACCCTACTTCCAAGGAGGTAGCATCATAGGTGGGAGTTATATATGTGCACACCCAGTTTGCGACTCACCCTAAACATTGCTTACCCATCGTCTCTCTGTAATCTTCTTTCCTCAGCACAGACGTCTCATTAGTCTGCTTCTCGTACACCCACTTCCAAAACCCTTTTTCATGCTAACAAGTCTTAAGCGTTGCTTTGTAGTCTTCTGATTCTGCTCCCGGCTTCTTTTAGGAAATATCTTGTGTGGGAACGCTGGAATATTAGCATATAAATAAGCTTGGCTTAATGGCTGTAAAGCACACTGAGATTATGAAAAATATTAGGTAAGTGCTAATAGTTTGCGTGGGAAATCAGCGCTCTAAGGTAGCGTTCCCACTGTTTTATCATGGAGTCTTTGAGTAAGTGCAAATCAGCATGAATGAGATGAGAACTCTTGGACAGTTGGGGGCAAAGGAGTGAACATCTTCAGTTCTGGTGGTGAGAAACCTGTCTAGCAAACATGTAGTTGGCTTCTGATTTGGACAAGTCTTGATTAGTATTTTCAAGTTCAAAATAGCTACTCATCATGTCCATACACAAGGAATGGAGCATGTAGGTGCTGCTGATCGTGTAGGCAAACATGAGTTCAGCAGCACAAATTAAAAGAAGGATATGTTCACTAAACAGGTGCTACCAAGACTCAGCAAGCAGTTACAGAGAGCCAGCAAGTACGGAGAGCTTTAAATCTATCTAGATACACCTTTGAATATTTTGGGTTGTCTCCACCTGCTTTGATGTAATATATGCTCATATTTCTTAAAGAGAGTGAGGAGCTTCTCATTCACTTGTGTCATGTGCTGGGAGTTCTTTGTAGGTTGTTACCAGCTCTGCCAGATTGATCCACTAAGGTACACGCTGTGTTCTCCAGAAAAAACAAGTCTGTGAAGTAGAGGTTGAAATCTCATCTGGCACTGAGTGAGCTGCAATTCTTCAACAGAAATTCATGCACAAGAGCGGCAGACTTTTTGTACATTTTTTCCCTCTTGTAGGTGAAACCAAAATTCAAACCAGTGAAGTTCTTGAATGTCCGGTAACCCAGTAAAGAAAGAGAGATGGAAAGCAGGAGATTTTATGTTTTTAATCATAGAATTCTCTTGAGTGCTAGACTGTGGTGTTGAATAATCCCAGTTCTTTGTGAGAGGTCTTTCCTAAACCTTGTGAGAGGTCTTTTTTCCCTTGATAGTTGCGAGGTTGGAAGTTATTTTAGCCTGTTCTTGGACTCTACCTGAGTTATATGTCCAGTTGTATGTCATCACATGTGTTTGTGGAGGTTAAAGCCTAGGGTGTTCAAAGCCCTGGATAGCACCTTTTTGAGGTCCACGTTGGAGAAGAATAAAGCGTTGGCGCTGTTAAACCACTCTCTGGCATCCTGTGCCACTACTCCAAGCACTGGATTTGGCCATGCTAGTGCAGGACAAGTCCTGAGAAGGTCTGGCTAAACAGGCTTGCTTAAGTTCTCTGTTGCAAAGCAATTTTGTTACTGTGGCCAAAAGCTTACTCCTTGTTGAAGTCCCTCCAGGTACTTAACAAGGTACAAACAAGTATGTTCCCCTAAGGAACACACCTGTGCACTTTGTAGAGCAGAGATTAATTATGGACAGCAAATACTGTAATGGGAGCCCAGAAAGTTCCACAAGGAAAATCATGGGAAAACCTCAGACTGGGATTTACAAATGCTATCTGTGTTGCAAAGGCAAGAGAGGCAGAAGCAGTGAAGGACCTGCTCTCACAGAAACAGGTGATTATGGAGAAGAAAAGCTGCGTGGAGACCTCATAGCAGCTTCCAGTATCTGAAGGGGGCCTATAAGGATGTTGGGGAGGGACTCTTCATTAGGGACTGTAGTGGTAGGACAAGGGGTAATGGGTCCAAACTGAAACAGGGTAAGTTTAGATTAGATATAAGGAAGAAGTTCTTCACAGTGAGGGTGGTGAGGCACTGGAATGGGTTGCCCAAGGAAGTTGTGAATGCTCCAACCCTGGAGGTGTTCAAGGCCAGGTTGAACAGAGCCTTGGGTGACATGGTTTAGTGTGTGGTGTCCCTGCGCATGGCAGGGGGATTGGAACTAGATGATCTTAAGGTCCTTTCCAACCGTAACTATTCTGTGATTCTATGTCTGGTGGCTTTGTCTGGGTGGAAGCTCTGCAACTCACAGCATTGCAAACTACCTGTGCAGAGCAAAGCAGAGCAGACAGCATATATGTAAACAGAAGTGTAGATGCTGGGGAGGCAAGGACAAAACGAAAGTCCAAATATACTGGTACCTCACAGGATAGATACAGTTGCTTGCTGAGTATCCACTCAATATTTACTGTTAGTGTTTGAAGTGGACCTTAAAGTCTCTGGCCCAGAGACGCTATAAGAGGCTTACTTCTTAGCTGTATCAAGAATGGAATGTAGTACTGTAGCCCAGTCCAGGGGCCTCTCTTTCTTTGTATGCTTTTAAAATTAGTAAAGAATATGTACAGTCTGCATGTGTGGTTCAGAAATGGTTACTCTTGTGTAAAGTATTTGAAATGTCAGCAGACTGAAAAGTGCTGTAGAAGGTTCAGCTGTGGCTTTTGCTCTGTGCTTGTTACCAGCACCTTGATGATGATTTTTTCCCTCTAGAATTTCCTTTCTCAGGAGAAAAAATGGGTTCAGTTGCTGCTTCCTCCAAGTCATCATCCACTCCATAGCATTCAGAATAGGGAAACAGCCGTTAGAATGAGATGAATACATCCACATACTATCTATCAGTTGTTGAGAGGGTCTGGGAAGGAGATGGCATTGCGTTGTTAGTGGGGTGAAACCTTGTCACACCCATGACCAAATACTTCTTCCAAACTCTTCTTCCCTGTTGTCTGGCTTAAGGTCAGGAATTTCTAGGTTGTGGAATTATTTGTTCTTTCTGAATAGTTTACTGTACATGATGTGAATGATGCAACCTCTGATCTACAGCTGTTGCTGTGGGGTTTCCCTCTAGAGAGTTCACAAGCTGATTATGCTGGTGGTGGACATCAGACACCCAGATCATAGCGTGTGGAAGGCATGGGATGGAAATCCTGTTATTCTGGGCAAACAGATACTTGCGTGCCTGGGACCAGCTGCAGGAAAAGCTGAATGGGTGGTAGTGTTGGCATGTGTCTTTCCCATGTCCAAGGGTATAGTGTGCATGGTGGGAAAGCTGGGCTAATGAGGTAGAGCTGTACAAACACAACTGCTCTGACATGAGCTACCTTTACAGGAGAACTCCTGAGTTTTAACCTGTATATGACTCCCATTTATTACCCTTTCAGCCTGATAAATTAATTTCACAGTCAACTATGCAAAGCTATTGGGAAATATCTCACTATGAAATTTCATAACTGGCCTCTTCCAACTGCAATTCCTTTAGCTTTGGAGTGGTTTTGGAATTTCATCTTACAAGATGTTGTGAAATCAACTTTTTAACTTGCAACCAACCTCTGTGGTGATGGTCACTGAAAGATACTTCAAGTCATCTTTTACTGGGTTGAGGCTTTATTTTCGGAAAGGTTGAATCAGGCTGATATCCTTGTAACAGGATAGGGAAGCAAAGATCAAGAGTACCAGCTCAGAGCATAGTTTCTTCATATGCCTTTTTGCTTTCCAGGTCCATAACGTTCATGGAGCATTCAATGCCTTGGAGGGAGCAGACAAACTCAGCTCAAATCGTATGTATTCTTGGTGATTACAGGTCTTAGCCACTCTTTGCAGGAGGGAAAACAGGACCATTTGTGCAACACTGGTGTATCCAGAAGTCTTTAATTTGCCTCTTTAACCAAAATGATCCAGACATTACTGACTGACATTTCCATTTTCTCCAGTAACATAGAGAAGGCTTATCCCAAAAGGTCCTGTGCAGCCCTTCTGCAACCCAGCCACCATCTCCAGCTCTGTTATGACCGACACAGAATTCCTGAATTCTTTACCCATATCATACTCCTATAGCTTCCCTTTCCTGCTTACACCAGCAGCAGAACTTTTCCTTGTTCTTGTGTTGCAGGTTAGCTCTTACCTTAAATTCTACTCCATGGCTGGAAGGATAGACATTTTCATTGCCTTTCTTTATGACCAGCAACACAAAAAGAAATTTCTAGTGCATGCTACAATTCACCATGCACTAGTGTTCTCCTTCAGTGTTCAGGCTCCCGCAGGGTATCATTCTTGTCCGCTTTTTGGAACAAAGTTTCTATGGCTGTTCCTGAAGCTAAACAACTGTGTGGTGGTTTGGGTTTATTTGGGTTTTGTTTCTGTCTTTCTTTCTTTCTTTTCTTTCTCCAGGAGCCAAATGTCATTGTGTTACTCTTGGCTAAAGGATCCTGCCAAGAAATCACTTAGAATTCTGTTTAAGAACTGTTCCAGCAGACATAAAAATATAGCACAAACCATTTAAATCGG